ATGATTCTGTTGACTGTTGAAAGCGGGATTCCCAAATTCTGCAAAATTTGCCGCTAACTTATTCCACCATCTGATCCTTCCTCTAACAAAATCTGACAAGTCGAGAGAGAACCTTGAGCTCTAGGCATGTTGTAGCACAAGATAATTAGTGTGTGGACCATTTTCATTTATATAGTGCTCTGTGAACACAAATTAGTTAGCATAAATCAGTTAAATGACGAAAAATTAGGCGTCTATTTACTTGTGAACACTCAGTGTATATTCAGTTCAACTAAATATTTCACATATGGTTTTAGTATTAATCATGCATTAATTATTAGAGTTTTTCAACCCAGCTTACTGAAGAACAATATTATTCTCACTTTTAAATTAAAATATATCCTTGTATGATTAATAGGTAAATTTTAATGCGATCAGGTTATGTTCTGTGCAAATAAAAAAACAAGACATTATCTGAAGCTGGAAATACATTTTTCTAAAGAAATGATTTTCTCATTTTTTTAAACATGATATATTTAGGATGAAATCTGATAGACAAAAGAGAAAACCATAGTAAGATGTAGCATATATGATAAGAATTACCGTGACTCTGAGCCCCAGTGCATGGCATAAATCTTTGCTAAGTGACCACGGAGCGTGCGCCGAGTTCGCATCTGAATTCTCCCAACAGGTTCCATGTTGACTGTGACCTGAACCAGGTTTGTATCACATGCTGCTTTTCTTGCATCCTGAAAGCAAAGCAAAATTATTTTCTAAATATATTATATGAAAAAGAGAGAGCTAATTCCAGCACTGGACTAGGCACAGCTATCAATGATTTTCATATTAACTTAACATATTTTTCTAAATAATTGTGAAGCATGAAGTGAAAAGGAATAGCACGACACATTACAGTTTGGTTTCCGTTTGAACTAATTACATATATATATGTATTCACACTTACACACACTGAAATAAACGCATTTCATATTTTTTGTACATCACTGAAATTAATAAATACCCTGCATAATTATATTATTAGGTGAAGTTGATTTAGCATTTGAAAGCCTTTAAAGTGATAACAAGTACTTGAAATGTTTCAAAATGTATAACGATGTGTTCATAATGCAACTAAGTTAGGAAAAAGTTCATTTCTTTGTGTGATAAAATAAGTTCTATGGAGGATTCATTTATATTTTAATATCTGCTTTACAACTGCTTCCCAGTAGCACAGCGGTATGTCTGCGGACTTATAATGCATGAAACTGGGTTTCGATACCCGTGTTGAGCATAGCATAGATAACCCATTGTGTAACTTTGTGCTTAATTACAAACAAGCCTTACAACAACTTTATTCTCTCCTTTACAGCTACTCTACTTTCATTGTGCTTTAATCTTCTGATCGTTTTTGGACCGATTGTTATGAGCTATATTTTAACATTGTAATTCAGAATTTAGTTAGATGGACCTATAGATCGTAATAACGACGCCAAATTAGGCCTAGAAAGTTCTAAAAATTTTACTACATTGACAGTAGATTATAAATACGAGATCAGTAAAGCATCAAGAAGATAGTTGAGGGCTAGATAAAAAGTTAGTTAAGTATATAGAGAGTGGTTTCGAGATATTAGGGTTGTTACTAGCCGCTAGAGCGAATGAATCATTCTTTTTTTTTGTTTAGCTATGAAGTATTACATACCAGTTTACTCTTTAGATTAGTGTAGTGAAGTTAGTTTAATTAGTAAATGTGGTCTATAATTGTGTACAGCCAAGGCAGTTTGTAAAAATAAGTAGGGTGAAATGAACTAACTTGTTTTCGTTTATGTAGAGTTAACTTTGAATTATTTTCGCCAGGTAATTTGAAAGGATTCACTACCGAAAGAAAAATGTCACAACGTATATTAAAACAAATTGTAATAGAGTCATGCTCAGACATGGGAAAGTATGTCTGGCAGCTCAAAAGTAAAAAAAAACAAAAAAAAACACCGTACTTTACCATTCCAAACTTGAGTATTTTATTATGTAAACATTCTTCAACATTTTTATGTTGCACATGTTCATGAATTTAGCCCTATCCTTGTTCCAACTACTGCATGAAGCAATGTTTATATACTACAGTGGTCATTCCAGAGAGTTTGTACTTGCCTAGTCAGGTGTTTGTATATTATATTGCATCTAGTGTACAATTCACACCAAAAAAAAAACAAAAACACTAGAAGTACATTGCAGAAGTTTACATAGGTAATTATAAGCAGGGAGTTTATCTCCCCTAAAATGTACTACAAAGATGACATCTGACATAAGTAATCTAAAGTTGTGCATGACAAATGTTTCCTGGTTGTCTCACTTTTCTTGTTGTGTGAGTTTGATTTGTTTTCTTGCAATAAATGCATTTTTGAATTCCTCTAGTTATGGTTTCGTAACTTGCAGTTCTACCTGTGAATACTTTGTGTGCAAAAATATATGTATTTACCAGTCAAATACAAAGGATACTGACCAAAAGAAACTACAAACTGTTCCAATCAACTAATTAGTTTGAATATAGACGATATATAATTGACAAAATCCTTCAAGAGATTCAAGTAAAATTTTAAAATATACTTATTAAATGTTACATATTTCCCTGTTTTATGATATGTAGTCTTGTATGCTGTTTTTAAATGAATTAATTGAAAATTCAGCATTATACAGCTTATTTGTGGTGTGCCATAGCTACATATAAGTAAGCACCTATACTGGTTATTGCAGTAGATGGTTTTGTACAAGCACATGCATTGATGAAAGTTTAAAAAGTTCTTTTCACAAAATTTGAATTCTCTGCAACACTCTTCATATTCAAAGATGTAACAAAAGGAAACTGCATTTTATATGTGCAAAACCATTTCGGTAGTGTTTTCATGTTGTTCCATCATTATTATATATTCTAATGGGTATTTAAATTACAGTGTTTATCCTTGCAATATATTTTCAGTACTAACGTTACATTGTTTATCATTATCACTGAAGGTTAGAACATCCTTGTTCTGTTTCATAACATTCGCTTCCATTAGATGTGGTCAGAATATGTCTTAATGCACTTAATGGTGTCTGTTGGGTACTTCTCATGGTTGATTGATAATTAATTACTCAATATGTTAGCCTGCATAATAAAGCAATTTGCACTGTTTGAGGTCCAACTTCTTTTAATTATAAGCCAAATTGGTGGTATTCAGGATGAAACTCCCTCTGACTAATGAACAAAATATAAATCTCTAGAGGTATATATGTACGAAGTTTAGCTGACGACAATGGAGGTACCTCAATCAGTCAAATGTATATTAGTAATTTACAAAACTTCCATCAGATCAGTTATGAAATGTATCCTGTCCAACATGAATAAATGCAACCAAATGAAATGATACAAAAATAAATGAAAAATTAAGAGTTCAACATCCATAACGTTTTGTACAGAATTACGTAAAACTCGACCACTATGTTGCCATATTGTCTTCACCATTATTCAACCTCCTATTTTAAGGAAAATATACGGAAAGATAACGTCACGCTTTGAACCTTAGCAAAAATTGTTTGGTTTGGTTTAGGCAATTTCTCGCAAAGCACTCGAGGGCTATTTGCACTAGCTCTCCATAATTTAGAAGTGATCGACTAGAGGGAAGGTAACTAATCAACACCACCTACCGCTAACTCTTAGGCTACTCTTTTACAAACGAAAAATGGGGCTGATCATCACATTATGATGCCCTCACCATTGAAAGGGGAACATATTCGGATTCGAAATCACAACCACAGCTTGCGAGTGGGGCACCCTAACCACCAGTATATCTCTCAAATCAATGGTTGTTCTATATTATTAATGACACAATTGATGGTTTTATACCATGCTGAGTAATTATTTGTTTTATGATTGTCCTGTTTTTCTTTTTTTTTGTTGTGTGTGTGTGTGTGTGAACAGTAGTATATATCTTATGAGAAATGTTAACATTTTAAATAAAATATGCTTCTTTATGGTGTTTTGTTCATGGACATGGTCTAACAAGGATTGTATGGATTAAATCCAATTATGTACAAACGATAGGAACCTAGTTGATATTATATACCAGCTCTATGATATAATCTACAAAAAAGATCGAGCACATATCAAATATTATGGGGAAACGATAAGGAATTCATTGAACTTGAGATCCTCAGATCACTCACCAACTTGACCTGAATCATGGACCAAACAGAATCTACTCACATGGTGATTTAACAGTGATTTGGAATTCTGGAGAAATTAATCGGAAATCAACAAAGAACTGCAAGTTATATGTTTATTTTTCCTTATATACTAATTCTAGGCTTAGATGATATCATTCATCTGATAAGTTAGCACTTATAATTTTAATGAGAAAAACAAGTGTTAAGCATGACGGAAGTGAAGCTTCAAGTAGTAAGTAAAATGAGTAATGAGATAGAAATTCGAGAGTGATTTAGTTAGTTAGTGAATTATTCAGTCGATTGAGTTATTTAGTTCAATGTCAGATAGTAGTTAGACAGAGAGTTACTGCATCTGTTTATCTACGATCGAGTTAGCATTAGTCATTTAGCACGTTTATTATCGACGGATTAGTGAGGAAATTCTGCAAATAAGTTTATAAACAAGTTAGCCATATATTAATTTTGTAATTTCTGTTCAACCTTGTTTATAAAGTTAAGTCTATCAGTGAACGTAGCCTTTAGCAAACGTTATTAAAGAAAGAAATTAATTTGTTATTGTTAAATGTAGTAGTCTTGGTATTATTTTTTACCAAGTAATCGAAAAGAATCCAGCAAACGATATAAATCCTTATAAATATATATATATATATAATACATCTATAGTATATATTCATATAGTAATTATATGTTTCTATTTTATAAAGTTATCACCCTAAAGCTATGGTTTAGTGTTTTCCATGTATGTCAGTGTTACTTGTGTGACATGATAAAGAAGAATTTTATATGAATCTGATACATCATTATTTAGCACTGAACACTGGAAGATGTGGCATGTACATCATTCATGAGGTGGTCAAGGATGGGGCTGAAAACTCATTGTGAAATGTTAGAAGGTTTTTCTCTAGCTTGCATAACCTGTTCATTGTTGGCTGGAAAATGTTCCAATGGCAGAAAGGTCTTTGCAATTATGGCCACGCTTCAAGATATATATATATATAAGCAAAGTTACAATGATGAAATAGATGAATTCAGGAAAAACTCCCTTTAGCTAAATCTAAACCTGATGCACTGACAATACATCTTATTGCTCCTTCTTTCTATATATTTCAAAGCAGATTGTGCCATTTTAACCATATATATCAAACAGACAACTCATGCTGATCTTCTTCAGTGGTTCCATTGTGTACATAATTAGGGGATTATGAAGCTGTTTGTGAAATGAATGGTATTACAAGTGGCACACTTGCTGGTTAAGACAGATAGTAAAGGCAGTTTACTTGACCAATCGGAAAGTTCACTTGAAATGGAGTATGAAGTGAAGTAAGGAGTGAAAAGTAAACGATGGAATTCAGTAATGACTGTCACGTAGTTTCAAAAAAATTGTGTACTTGTTAATTGAAAAGTTTCTATTGTAGAAGTTGCCGGTAAGGAAAATGTTTTGCTTTGACCCACAGAAGCTAGCATTGAAAAGGGGTGGTGTAGCACAGACTGTATAAAAAAGTGCCAAAGACTATAGTTGATGCAAAAAAAGACTTAATGGAGACATTGGAGT